CTGGTTGGTCAGCCACGTGTCTGGCCGACTGAACCATCTGCAGAGCCAGACGTCCGGAGCCGAGGAGAGAGGACAACTCTCTCGTCTGGCCCTAATCTGCAGTCACGGCATCACGGCGTCACGGTCAGTCTGCTCACTTCCCTCTCATGCTGGGCACATCGACGTCCGTCACCGCCACCCTCGTCCAACCCGCCCAACTCGCCGTCAAGGCGGAGTTGTCGTTCGCCATGACCGAGATTCTCGCGAAAAGTCGGCCTCTCGACGCCAAGTTCGAGTCCCACCTGAACTGTGGCCATCCGGCCGTCGGCTTCTCGGCGCCACCGGCCTCCGACCTAGTCCATCAGCCCTACCACCAGCACCACCAGCAGAGGCTGGAGGAGTTGCGCGAGACGAGTCGACTCTTCTCGAACCACCTGTACCAGGCCATCTCGGACTACGGCCAGGCGAGAGGTGGCCGCCTCGAGACACCAGCCTCGGACGACGCGGACGGGGCTGACGAGCGCGACATGGACCCGGGCTACTACAGCGCCGGTGCAGGCCAGCAAGCTGTCGTCAAGGCCTGTTGTCATCCCGTCTGTCTGGCCGAGGAGCAGAGCCTCGGGCTCTACACTGGCACACACACGCAGACACACAGGCAGCTTCAACCACCGTCCGTCCGGATGGTTTGCACCAAATCTGAGCCGGCCTCGATTATGACCGCCTCGGACGAGGGAGCTGGCGTCTTCGCGGACTCAAGGCAGAGCGACCAAATGCAACAACAGTTCACCTCGATCACTTCGTGTGGTTCCACCTCCGGTCGAGGGTACATCTTCTGTCCGGCCGGCCTCGAAGGCGTCACCACGACGCCGGACTACCTCGGGCCCGAGGGGAATCTGGCCTCCACGAGTGGCGTCTGTCTCGGCCAGACGATCCCGTCGCCAGCCGCCTCCAATCAAAGCCTTGCCAGCACCGGCAGTTCCGCCGACAACAGCACCACCAGCCTGCCTGCCTTGCATCTACAACACCATCAGCACCACCAGCACCAGCACCATCACCATCACCATCACCAGCACCACCAACAGCACCAGCCTCCGAGTCTGCCGTACCAAGAGTCGAGCCGGGCCGGGGGGCCAATGCCAGTCGGGCCGGCGGGACTCAGCCCCGCCTCGTCGCTGGCCCCCGTCGCCTGGACGTCGGTCGACTGCCAGGGCCCGGTCTTCCCCGACTGGCAACCCGGCCCGCTCGGTTACCCGTCGGGGCCATCCGAAGCATCGGAAGCCTCTGAAGCCTCGGAACCCTCCGAGCCGTCGGAGCCGTCAGAGCCGTCCGAGTCGGTTGAGTCGGTCGAATTGGTCGTCAGCCACTGCTGTTCCACACGTTCCGGCCAGGCCTTCGAAGCCGACGCCGGCCATCCCGTCCGCGGGTGGCCCTCCAATCAGGCCTCGCCACAGACCCCACCCTTGGCTGGTCTGCAACTCGGCTCCGCTTATCTCCCGGGCCTCCAGCAGCACCTCCATCCTCGCCAATCCCACCATCTACAGCCTCATCTCGTGCCCCCCCACGCCAGCCTTTTTCCCGACGATCTGGTAGGCTCTCTGCAATACCTCCATCCGGCCGGTCGGATGGCCGCCCACTTCCACGACTACCGCCAGTCGCCAGGTACCGAGGGTGGGTCGTCTCTTCTACCACCTCCGGAACAGGCGCACCATCCACGGCATCAACAAGAACAACAGCCCCACCAACAGAACCAGCAACAGCAACACTTTCGTCAGGTCGCCAACGGCCTGCCGGTTCGTCCACGTTTCCAGCCGCCGCTCACCAACTCGCAGGCATACCCGCCAGAAGGGCAATTCATACAATCTGGTAAGCGGTCCTTCTGACTAACGTTTCATATGATCAGGCAGAAAGATTATCAGTGGCCCTTGAACAAGAACTTGGCCAACTGAGGTTGCGTTTTCCTACAATCAGATGATTAAATGAGATGTATTCACACTCTATTTCATTTAGGGTGATGAAGGACTGGTAGTAGAATTTTCCCAAAATGATATGAGTAGAGCTAACGTTTCTATTGAATTTCACAGCCTTGCTTCCCCAAAAGTTGTTCTCATCCAGGCTGAAGTGGACTGCAGTTTCGACTTCGCATCGGTCTTATCAACATTCTTAGCGGGAGTCTAACAGTGACAGTGCAGCATGTGAGCTTGACACATTAACCACTCAGCCACATTGCCAAGAGTCCCCTTGGGTCACGGGGCAGATTTGAGTTTTAAGGAGGGTCAGACCTTTACCCATATTACATTCTTTGGTGGGATTGTCGATGAAGCAAACGTATTTTTGCTATAACAATCGACTATACTACTTAATTTTCCTATATAAGTAGGGTTTCGAAACTATCAGTAAATCAGTTAGATGAGATGTATTCACCCTATTTCGTTTATGGGTGATATGGGAAAAGGCCTGGCCTTCATTGAAGTTCACATCTGCCCTTTGACCCAAGGGTACTCGTTACAATTTGGTCGAGTGGTTAACGTGTCAAGCTCACATGCTGCACAGTGACAGTTCGACCCCCCCCTGGGGGTGTTGATAAAACATATGGGAAGTCGAAAATTTTGGGAGAGCAAGGCCCTGCGAATTTTAATAGAAACGTCAGCTCTACCCATATCATTTTGGTAAAATTCGACTACCAGTCCTACATCACTTTAAACGAAATAGGGTGAAAGTATCTCATATAACTGATTTACTTGTAGCCTCAAAACTCTGCTTATAAACGAAAAACAATTGTGGTATTTCTCCTTTTGTCGTGGTGTATTCAACTATCCCACATAGTCTTAACACCTCTACACTGATAATTTCTTACTTGCTTATATAAACTTAAGTGAGGTGTACCCTAAGGAGCGGATTTAATGAAACCTATTCCAACCAGTGGTGAGTAATATTAGATTTCAGGAAATCCGCTCAAATGGGCACATCAGAACTAGATATACATAATCGAGAAACTTTGAAAGTGAAGGCATACTACGAGGATATAGGATAGGCGAATTTACCAAGGCGGTAAAGACACCA